TAATGTAAACATTTTTGCAAGAAAACCCCCTAATATAATGCATTATGCACACACCTTTCCCTAAAGTTTGCACTTTTTGCAAATATTGTTTGCCTGTGGTATGGCCTAGTGAGAGTTCCAAGGGCCAGACAGAGAGACTTGGAGGGCCACATGAGATTCCCCACTGCTGTGCCAAGACAAATCATGGCTTAGCCTAGGGCAGTGTAGCATCAGAATGAGGAGCAAAGAGGCCACAATCCCCTCTCTGAGAGCCCACACATTTGCTTGCTTGAGTTCAGCCATTGCTTGCATGTGAGGATGCTTTCAATGCAGTGCTATTTTTAAGAAATGTATTACATTTGCCCAATTGCAGCAGGTCAAGTCAGTAATAATGCAAAAACTGACAAAAAAAACTGCTTAAAAAAGCATGATGGAACAAACGCAAATTAACTAGGCAAAGTGAACATCTCATATATGTCTTTATGATCTGTCCCCATACCTGCTGGAACCAACAGGTCCTGAACCAGTCAGGAGTGTGGCCTAGAGTAGAATTTATAACCATGGCTTCCTCAAACTTAGACCCCCCCCTCCCAAGTAATTTAGAAACTGCATTTTTGTTAGGATGTACAGAAAAACTCTCATACGCTCATGAAACTACCATTCCTAATTTCTTTGTGGTAGTGAGGAGAAACCCTGAGAATGAAACCAGTTTTAGATCTATAGAACAGTACAGAAAAATGAGCAGAAGAAAAAAAGACGGGGAAAGGGTAAGCAAAACTAAATGAAGTTAACGACAAAAATAGGTTACTCCATACTCACCACAATAATGTTTTCATGCTCTTGAGTGGTTAAGTTATTATTCTGAAAGGGGAAAACAAATGAGAAAATCAGCAAGCAAGCCTGCTCTGTTTTTCTTCTTTTTTAAATCTGGGTAGGCTTGCAAGTCCTTTTCCCTTAAGTGTCCTGTCTTGAAGAGTGGCCAATATGGCACAGTCTTAAAAGAGTGGCCCATCAGCTCCCCTATGTTCTAGAACCCATCCCTTTGTCCTGCATTGAGTTACAAGACTGGACCTGAAGAGCATCTCATCCAAGCACAGGCCCCAGAGCAGGGATTGGCAGAAGGTACCACAGCAGCACCTGGGTGATTTGCAGTGGATCTGTAAGAGCTTCTAACTTCCAGTGATCAATGACAACCAAAAAGACTGTTCATCCCACCCCCACTAATTTTGGGCTGCTGGGGATAGGTGGGACCAATACTGGAGTTTTGTGTAAAAGCAAAGACAGTGAGCTCAGCTTTGGTCCTGAATCTGTGGCCTGCACGTGAAAATTTGCATGTGTATATGCAGGTCACCTTGGTCTTCATAACTGAAGAATGTCTCCCATACCAAAGGTGTCTGTCCAAGTCAACAACCCACAATGAACATTTCTGGGTAACTTATGCCCAATTGAACCATGTAGCCAAGTACTGTTGGCTCTGACTGACAAAAGCTTTCCAGTTATCCAAAATTAGTTCTCCTCAGAATAGACCCACTGAAACGAACAGACATCACTAATTTAAGCCCATTAATTTCAATGGAACTATTCTGTGTACACAGCATAGTTGCATACAACAGTGCTCTCGTAACTTTCCCCCTTACTATCCAAGATCTTTAACTGGGACTTTTTGTCTAGATTGAATGTGCACCACCACTAACCTATGGCAGCGATAGGCAACATGCTCCCTGCCAGATGTTGTTGGACTACAATTCCCATCATCCTCGACCACTGGGTTCATTTTGGCTGGGACTGGTGGAAGCTGTAGTTCAGCAACAGCTGGAGGGCTGTTGGCTACTTCTGGGCTATGGCTTCTCCCCTTACACATTTTCCTAAGTGGGAGAAGGAACACAGCTCAGCAGCAGAACCTGTGCTTTTAATGCAAAAGATCCTAGCTTCAACCCTTGGCAACGCTAGAGTTTACTCCCACAAGAAGCAATGAAGGTCACCCACTTGGATGGATTGAAGAGAGGATAAGGCAAATCGAGGAAGGATAAGGCTATCAATGACTGCTAGCCATTATAGCTATGTTCTGCCTCTGCTGTCGGGGGCAGTACAGTGGTACCTCAGGTTACAGACACTTCAGGTTACAGACTCTGCTAACCCAGAAATAGTACCTCGGGTTAAGAAATTTGCTTCAGGATGAGAACAGAAATCGTGTTCTGGCGGTGCAGTGGCAGCAGGAGGCCCTATTAGCTAAATTGGTATCTCAAGTTAAGAACAGTTTCAGGTTAAGAACGGACCTCTGGAACGAATTAAGTATGTAACCAGAGGTACCACTGTATGTCTCTGAATAGCAGTTGCTAAGAATCACAAGTGGGGTGAGTGCTCTTGTGCTCAGTTCAGCCTGCTTTCAGGCTTCCCATGAGCACCTGGTTGGCCACTGTGAGAACAGGAAGCTAGACCAGACGGGCCCTTCTTGAGTCCTTATTTCTATGGGGAAACGGGTCTTGAGTAAGATCTTGGGTAGCAGCTGACAGAAAAGGCCTTTGCCTAAGACCCTGGAGAGTCACGGCCAGTCTGAGTAGTCACTATTTATTTGTTTGGACATTTATATCTCACCTTCCAATGATAAAATCGTACTCAAGGCAGCTTGCAATAAATATATCACAACAAAATTAAAAGCAAACCTAGCAATAAAGCAAACGGCAGTTGGCAATAAAGCAAATTTTGTTGGGGGTACCCTTACATCAAGCTCCGAACGAGAATCAAAACATCACTTCTGTTACTGCTTTTATCAAACGATTCTATCCAGCTCTGTCCATATAGTCTCTTTATTACTTCTTCATCTTCTTGTTGTTATCATGTATTCCTTTCTTTGCAATCTCTGATAATCTTCGCAAGCAGGTTAGGAACAAACAACATCTGCGTGGATTTTGCACACCCCAAAAGTCATATCTCCTAAGGACAGCCGCCATTACTCCCCTTCTTCAAAAATTTATCCTCGGTCCGCCCTATTAATTTTCCCAAGCTTGCCATATATATCACAAAGGGGCTCTGCCAGGTTATCACATTCAATCCATCATCTACATTCCAATGACCCTGGTCCTCCTCCCCTCGTCTTTCTTCGACAAGCCTGTTTTAGCAAGACGCCATTAACAACTGTGTCATAGAATTTTTCTTCCGCACTCCATATTTACCAGTCCTCTCTCCACTCAATAATTCACTCCACACAGCTCTTAAATTCTTGCTTGCGATTAGTAAAAGGCGACGATTCGTCTCTCTTGGGGTGGAGGTTTATAAATACTCATAGAATCATAGAATCATAGAGTTGGAAGAGACCACAAGGGCCATCGAGTCCAACCCCCTGCCAAGCAGGAAACACCATCAGAGCACTCCTGACATATGGTTGTCAAGCCTCTGCTTAAAGACCTCCAAAGAAGGAGACTCCACCACACTCCTTGGCAGCAAATTCCACTGTTGAACAGCTCTTACTGTCAGGAAGTTCTTCCTAATGTTTAGGTGGAATCTTCTTTCTTGTAGTTTGGATCCATTGCTCCGTGTCCGCTTCTCTGGAGCAGCAGAAAACAACCTTTCTCCCTCCTCTATGTGACATCCTTTTATATATTTGAACATGGCTATCATATCACCCCTTAACCTCCTCTTCTCCAGGCTAAACATGCCCAGCTCTCTTAGCCGTTCCTCATAAGGCATCGTTTCCAGGCCTTTGACCATTTTGGTTGGCCTCCTCTGGACACGTTCCAGTTTGTCAATGTCCTTCTTGAACTGTGGTGCCCAGAACTGGACACAGTACTCCAGGTGAGGTCTGACCAGAGCAGAATACAGTGGCACTATTACTTCCCTTGATCTAGATGCTATACTCCTATTGATGCAGCCCAGAATTGCATGGCTTTTTTAGCTGCCGTGTCACACTGTTGGCTCATGTCAAGTTTGTGGTCAACCAAGACTCCTAGATCCTTTTCACATGTACTGCTCTCAAGCCAGGTGTCACCCATCTTGTATTTGTGCCTCTCATTTTTTTGCCCAAGTGCAATACTTTACATTTCTCCCTGTTAAAATTCATCTTGTTTGTTTTGGCCCAGTTCTCTAATCTGTCAAGGTCGTTTTGAAGTGTGATCCTGTCCTCTGGGGTGTTAGCCACCCCTCCCAATTTGGTGTCATCTGCAAATTTGATCAGGATGCCCTTGAGTCCATCATCCAAGTCGTTGATAAAGATGTTGAATAAGACCGGGCCCAAGACAGAACCCTGTGGCACCCCACTAGTCACTCTTCTCCAGGATGAAGAGGAACCATTGATGAGCACCCTTTGGGTTCGGTCAGTCAGCCAGTTACAAATCCACTGAGTGGTAGCATAGTCAAGACCGCATTTTACCAGCTTCTTTACAAGAATATCATGAGGCACCTTGTCAAATGCCTTGCTGAAATCAAGGTAGGCTACATCCACTGCGTTCCCTTCATCTACCAGGCTTCATCTACTCACATGAGGCAAAGAAAATAAAAGTTTTTTCCTCCACCCCCCCCTTTTTTCGCTCCGCACATACCAGTCTCGTAATGGTGGTTCATTGCTTGATTTATTTGTCTCCTCCCGTCGCTCCAAACACAGAGATGCATTAATCAGCAGCCTTATCTCTCGAACTTTGCTTGATGTAAGTGCTTCAGCTTCATTCCAATTATATATTTCCAATTAAAATTCCGGGCTGAAGCTAACCAGCGCGCGCTGATTGGAATCGGTGTCAGGAAGAGCTGACTTCATCGAGGGCTCGTGCCAAGTGACCGGCACTCCCGACTCTCGGATCTGGGGGTGCATTGTGGACACCGCTGGCAAGGCAGCCCCCCCATCTCCTTGGGGGGGTAGGAAGACTGCATACTTCCCATAGCAGCCTCTTATTACCTCGTATGGGTCAGAGAGATGTTATTGTCGGCCATCTTCCAATGCGCCCCCTGGTGGCCCCCTAGCTTAGTATTGTCAACACTGGCTGGTAGCAGCTCTCCAGAGTTTCAGACAGAGGTCATTCCCAGCCCTACCTGGAGATTGCCGGGGATTGAACCTGGGACCTTTTGCATGCAAGGCAGATGCTCTGCAGTTGAGCTGCAAATCTTGCTATATTTCTATTAACCAAATTTGGTCTATAGTGGCACAAAACCTGCCTGCACATCTCACAGACAAAGTTCATACTCAGAATGCTATCATGTTGCATGGCTGATAGTATGGGAGCAGGGCCTTTCTCGTGTCTCTCTGGAATCAGTTGGTCTAATGAGACCTGCTCCATCCTAACATTAACAATTTTTAGGAAAAGGTGGAAGACTTGTTTTACTTTGCTCAAACTCTGAATAGTTGCTTTTTTAAAAAAACGGTATTTTCCCTTATAGTATGGACATGATCTCATTTATTTCAAAAGGAGAGAGCCCGGCAATGAACCGTAATCCCCCGATTGTGGGTTCCTGGCATTTGCAGGACCTGAGATGCAAGGCAAAATGTACAGACACTACCTTTCTCATGTCTACTTCCCCCATTCAGTGTTTTAGTCCCTCGCCTGTTCCCCTGGAAAAGTCCTATGGACACTCATGCTTCAAAGTGCTTCCCTTTGGCTGGAACATGCCTCATTTATCGGGGATGGGCAACTTTGGAGTTGTATTTGACTCTTACTCCGAGAATATCTATGGAAATGAATGAACTTAAGTTAGCCATGCCCAATAATTTCAGTGGGCCTACTCTGAGTAGGAGTATTACAGAATACCACCCACTGGCTCTGTAGCCACATGCAGCCCTCAGCTGAATCCCACGTGGCTCTTGTTTAATTTCAAAAGCCCTCTGTTTCTTTCCTGGCAGCCCACTAGATGGGGAAGAAGGGGGGCAGAAGAGAGGGAGGATGGTCACACACACACTTTTGACCATCAGCCTACATGTGCCCCCCAAAAGACCATCCTCAAGATAGTGTGTCCCTCAACAGTTGCCCTATATATTTTGTGCATCTGACTATGTGAGCTGCAGTCTGCAAAAGCCTACAAGACAATAAATCTATACTTCTATGGTTCTTTGTTTTCTCACTATGACAGACTAACATGGTTTTTCCTCTGGAAGTTACGCATTTTGAAGGAATTGCTGTTTATATTTATATAAATATAAACTGATTGCGCATTTACCAGTTTTCTAGGTTTATTTGGAGCTTTGACAGAGGAGGCAGGAGTATACGGCATTCAAAAAACAAATAAATGGCCAACATCTTTCAACAGCTGTTCACATAGTCTGCTTTTCAAATCATTTCTTATCCTCTGGATGATTTGCCTCTGTTGTTCCACCTCCCTCCACCCAGCTCGTTAATGAATATGGCAAAACAGTGCAAAGATGCTACATGTGTGCCTGCCTACCTGCAAATTTTGGGTGACCCGGCAAATTGGGAGTCCTGGTTTGGACAAGGTAAACAGCTGCACGCAATCACTTCTTCAAAGATATTGTTTGGCATTGGATATCCAGGTACACATTTGAGACTTAACATTTTTTTAACAGAAAAGAGCAGCACAAAGTTTACCTCTGAGAGCAACTTGGAAACAATCTCCAGTGGAGCCTGATGAATCGATTCATCCTGCAAAGGTGACGTTAGCGCCATGTCCACCAAGGTCCGGATCTCCTTCAGAACCACCTCCAAGCGGCTTGGGTTACTCAGAACCTTCTTATACTTGTAGATCTTTTTCTAGGAGAATAAATAAAATAAAAGCCACACAAGTTCAGGTGTAAGGTTATAAAAAAAGGGGGGTGGGCAGAGAATACAATATAAGCAACTTTCCACATGCCATATGGTCAAAAGAGACCTTTGCATTTGTTCTATGCTTCCTGCTTCTAGCTCTGCAGGTGTGTGTGGGGGGGGAACCCTAAAAAGAACTAAGGAAAGAGGAAGCCACATTTTACTCTGTGGTGGAAAATTACATTCTTATTTTTCTGTTTTGGGGTTTTGCTTGTTTTGTTTCTCTTTAGGGTTTTAGAAAACAGATACATGATGGCCTGATTCACACAACAAATATTTGGCTCAATAAACCCAAATTAAAGGTAACTAATGTGCATAGGGAATTCCACCCCACCCCCTTTACATCAAGGATGGGAAACTTGGACTCCCGATGCTGTTAGACTCCAACTCCCATCAGCCCCACAAAGTGTGGGCAGTGGCCAGGGATGATGGGAACTGTAGTCCAACAACATCGTACAGGCCGAAGGTTCTCCATCCCTGCTTTACATTAAAATACAGATCAGGAATTAAATGCAAAAGAAGGGTTCTGTTATTATTATTTGATTACATTGTTCTGTATTTTGTGGCTTTAAATGTTGGACACCATGGGAAAAGATGATATTTTGAATGGCTAATAATGCCACTAAACAAACAAACGAATGAATGAATAATTAAGGGTATGGTCCTCCAAACAGTTTCCCATACATTCCCCGCCCTCCACATTGTACTACTTTAGCAAAGCTTGATGTCATCAGAAAACCAGGATTCTTAATGGATGTCAAAGTTATTAGAAATTATAGGTAAATGTAGCCTCCCATTTTCATAGACAGTATGCCTCCAATAACCATTTGTAGTAGGAAACTGTATTTTAGGAACAGCTTTGACATTTCTGATGCCCTTTAAGCAGCCATGGTGTCATACGGGTGTCACCATCATTTCTTAAAGCTTTCTGGTTGAACTGGGTTGAACTGGGAGCATCTGGTGCTGCAATATTCCTAGAACTGGGCAGGGGTAGACCTGATCAAAAAGTTGGATGGTAGCTCACTGAAGGCCCCATGGGTTAGAATTGGGGTAAAAATAAAACAATTTAGCCATGTTCAAAATGGGTTTTTATATCCCAGTCGCTGAGGCCCTTTTCAGAGATGGAAAACTGCTCAGCATAATAAACGTAAGCAATAATCTCTTCCATACCCACGCTTCTGAGGTGCCCACTTTATGGTTCTGTTTTATCATTTACAGAGCAGAGAGCATTGCAGCCTTTTATCTTGTTCATCTTACAGTCTGATGTGATGAGTTTTCCATTGGCTAATGCAGCTTGGTTGATTTCGAGAACAGTGGATGCCTGATCTATGTTTATTTGCTCATCAATCAATATTTTCCCCCAGATGGCATCTCGGTTTATGCTTAATAATAATAATAATGATAATATAAAAAGCGATGCCATTTCTCTACCCCAAAGGCAGCAGAAAAACAAAGGGGGGGAGGAGGGGAGGAGTCTGTGTAGCCTATGCCACAGGTTTTCACTTTTATGGGTTTGGTCTTTGAAAACAATCAAGCTTGAAAAACCATGCCAACGGCTGATTTAATTAGAGTTGGCCTTTGAATTAAAATTCTATGCAAATAAAGAGAGGCAAAAAAAGCGCACCATTTTAACCATCAGGCTGAAGGCCAGAAAACACCACCATAATAACAAAACCACACAAAGGCCTTCATGTTTACATACTGCACACCACCAAATGCAACCTTCGAGTTACATTGACCAGGTTTTGCAAAATTATCGGGATAGCTCAGTTGGTAAAGCATGAGACTCTTCATCTCAGAGTCGTGGGTCCAAGCCCCATGTTGCACAAAAGATTCCTACACTGCAGGGGGTTGGACTAGATGATCCTCATGGTCCCTTCTAACTCTACAATTATATGATTCTAAGAGATCCTCTTACAGCAGCCTCCCCATATCTGGTGCCCTCCCAATGGTTTAGCCTACAGCTCCCATCAACCCCAGTCAGTGCCACCTGGAACTGATGTGAGTTGTAGACTAAAACATCTGGAGGGCATCAGGTTGGGAGAGCTTTCTTTAAAGAATGCAACTCTTTTACCCTGGCCTCTGACATCTGATATGTATATTTTCAGGACCTAACCTATGTTTTGTTATTGCATTTTTAAATTATTTTTTTGCAATTTTATGTTTTTAAAACTGGCTTCAATGTTGTATTTTCAACTGTTGTAACCTGCCCTGGAACCTTGGGGTGAAGGGTGTGTAATCAACAACAACAACAACAACAACAGACACTGTTGGGCAGGTGGATAGAAATGTAAATTAGTGAAGATGCCGACCTCTTAGCCTTGTTTCTTTGTCATCTCCCTTGCTTCCGGACAATTGTCTCCCTGTAATGTTGGCCATCCCACTCTGAACTTCCCATATTTCTCTCGCACATGCACTATTGAGTCCTACAGACCTGCTCAGTGGATCTTGCTCTGAATAAATTAGAAATCTGCCTTATAGACTGCATCAAATCAGTGATCCTATGCAAAGTCATCCATTTATTAATGCATGCATTTATTTAGTCAAATGATTTACAAACCTTTCATTGTTTGCCAATACCAAAGCAGTATATAACGTAAAAACCATAAACTACAACAAAACGGGAGATTTAAAATAAATAAATAAATAAATAAATCAGTAAGCAATGAACAGCAACGCTACATAGGGCTGGTATCATGTACACGATTATGAACACGATTGGAACTAAACAAACAAAAAACAGAACCTAAGATCAAACAGTAAAAGATATGAGTATCGGAGGTGACCTGCCCCGCTTTTGTAGTCTCCCCTTCAGAAGGTTGGACGCTCCTTCTGGTGTGTCCTTCACCTGCCCTGTAATGCCTTCTATTTAACCATTTGTTTGCTACCCCTAGGCTCCTCAATAGAATTCTCAGGGTACATTTCTATCTTCCCCTTCTCCTCACTCTTGAGGACAAGAGGAAATCATTTTTGGGATATCAAAACAACAACAACAACAACGGTAAAATGCTATTTATTAATGCTGGAGGTATAAATGTTAAGTCTTTTGCACCCAGTGCAACTGTGTTGCATCTGGAAGACTGGCAAAAGTGGGGGGTCAAGAGACCACTTTGCAGACAGCCACTGGCCCAGAAAAGGCTGCGCCCCAATGAATTTCTTTGCCTTTAAAAGCTGCTACTTTAAGGCTGTTCTTAACACTATTAATTGTACTTACAAGCACATTCTTCTGTAACAGCTAAAAACACGATTCCCTTGACAATAAAGCAGAAATTGTCACTGCAATCGTGCAACAAGCAACCACAATTTCCAAACAGTGCATCTATTCCACAGCTATTTCTGTGGTTACCCCACGCCCAA